TACGCCGACTGAACACGCACCATAATTACACTTTTACAGTCTCAAAACTGACGTATTTCTCTAACATTTACCACAGGTTCCATCTCGATGCCATGAACAGAACAATCTCTGCACCTTTTTCTAGTATTGTGCAGCACTACTTTGTGCCCGGACTACTTTTGAGGGGTTCGCCCATAAATACTGTGTTGTGCGGCCTTAGTGTGGAGCTGTCCTTTGTGCTGAACTTACCATCAGTTCCATGTATTATGTATAGCAGCATGTATTAAGTATTGCAGCTTGTTTGACACAACAGTACACCTATGGAAAAGCGAGGGATTGATGTATTTTAGTACATGTATATATAGTATATAGTACATTGAAGCCTGTATATCAACAAGATCTATATTTCATCAAGTCTTATACATATTCTGAGGATTAACACAAAGGAACAACAGGGTTTACGGAAAACCAGGTACCGGCCAGGCCAGGCTACCACAGTATCAGGTATCATTTCTTGCCTAACAAGGTTTATAATGTAAAATGCCAATACCAATGCAATTCAGGCAACATTATAATTATATAATGTATGCCTGTAATGTTGATATGTAAATCAAGAATTGGAAAAAATTTGAAAATGTAGGAATCTTGTTTTTTTTTAGCCAGCCTTGTTTTTTGCCCTATCGCATTAGATTTGAAATCTGCTGAGGATGTCATCCATGAAATTTACTTGCTGTGGCCTAAGTGTAGAAAAAAATAATGAAATCATTGTTATAACAATTTTCTTAAGAAATACAACATAATTAGTTTTTTGCTGACGTTCTATCTACTTATTTTATCTTGTATGGTGCACCCAATTTTTTATGTGCATCCGGTTTTTCAGGTTGGATGCACCAGCGCACCTATTTCCAAAAATGAATTTCGAGCCCTGCTACCTAAGGAAAAAATTAACACCAACACGAGTCTCGTAAGAAAATTCAAACTCTACTACTGGATCAGTTACGGATTTTTATTTCCGGACGTTTCGAGTGACATCCATCACTCTTCTTCAGCGTCACAAATGAACAGAGAACCGATTCACTCTTATATACAAGTAACTAGAAAAACCGGTTAAACAACAAGGTCCGTAAGAAGCTTTATCATGTAAAAGAACGGTTCACTCAATATACAGATATCGATGATTAGAACTAGAAGAACCTGTTCAACAACCGTAAGAGTCTTTGTCATGTAAGGAAGGTTCCTATGGTAAGAAATTACCATAGGAAAAGTTACTGTCCCTTGGGCTGTGGCAGTGCGGGATCTCATGTGCTTGAGAGTTCTATGCGCAGTCCCCCCTTCCTGTTCAGGGTGGGGTTGTAGATGCGCGCATAGATGGCCTCCTTCACGCCGCGCTCGTACCATCGTGGTTCACGGTCGAGGATGTCTGTTGCCTCTAGCTTGAAACAGTGTCCCTGGTTGTGTTTGGTGTGATGGTAGATGGCAGAAGAGTAGCCGCTTGCTGTAGCCCTGCAGTGTTGTTTGTATCTCTCCTTCAGAGGTTGGCTGGTTTCCCCGATGTAGGTGTCATTGCAGTTAGGTTACTCGCATTTGAGTCTGTAGATTACCTCTGACTTGATGCCTTTCTGTACGCGGTCTTTGGGGTGAACCAGGTTCTGTCTTAGGGTAGAATAGGGTTTGAAGTTGGTGCCGATGGATGTCACTCGAAACGTCCGGAAATAAAAATCCGTAACTGATCCAGTAGTAGAGTTTGAATTTTCTTACGAGTATCGTTTACCTGGATGTCTAACCTTCATCAACGTACCAACACGAGTCCTTTCTTGCAAAACTAAACGGTGCACAACAAACTTATTGCAACAAACAACAAGAATTCGGAGACTTCATACCTCCATGAAATATTTGAGTTTTTGCAAATTGTTTTTATTTGTCTCATTGACTATGAAAATAAGGTCGTAATTAGCATAATCTATGTTGATTAATAAGTTTTCTGAATTCAAATGACTATTTTTCGTATGAAATTCCTCTCCTTTGTCAAACTTTATTTCAGCATGTCCACATTAATTATGCAAATGGCCCCAAAATTAACATAATATATGCATAGTGGTGTTAACCTTCAAGTAACTTACACGTCACAAGGTATAAAATTCCCATCATTCACCAATAATGAGTCACATGATTTCCACATTAATTATGCAAATTAGGTCACATTTGCATAATTGGTATCTGTTGATGTTCCGCCTGCGACAGGTTAAATAGATTACATGTATAAAAGTAATATTATATAAAACACAATAATTATAGAATTTTCTCCTTAATTATGCAAATTAAGTACTCATTTGCATTATTTGTATTTGATTAAGTACAACTCTCTCTAAGCTACCTACACACAAAATTATGAAAATACGTTGTTCCTATCTTGACTTCTTGGCTTTAGAAGATTTTACCAGAAACTAACCTGCAGTTCCAGAACAAGCTGCTAGGGAGACCAAACTTTTTCGTGACATAATAAGCTACCTTTCACTAAAAAATCAAGACCATAGCATGTTCAGGACAAAAGATACAAAAGGAGGCCCATATTTGACCTTGACCTTTGGATTTTCAAGACTTACCAACATACCAAATATCATCACAATCCATAATGGCGTTCTCAAGTTATGTTGACCACAAAGTTGCGGAAATACACACACACACAGACACACAGACACGACAAAAACAATACTTCCATTTTTCATGGAGGTAACAAAGCACCTAGTTGAGAATGGCACCCTGAGACTATGTTTAGCGGAGAAATAGACATTAAACATGGGCAACAACAACATTTTAAACGCCACTTTATTCCAGATAATTTCGCTAAAATTCGTGAAAATTTCCTGATTTCGGGGCTGAGTAGCGTCCATTTTGCCGTCGGCATTGTCTCTAAAAACTTAGAGAATCGGCGATAATCGGGTAGTAAACAAAATTCTGACCATTTCGCACGACGCCACCGAGAGAACATCGGGCGCCCCGCTAGCGTTTGAAGTCGTGTAAAACAACGCTAATTTTCCGATTTACTTTGTTTGTAAACCAAAGCCCTTGGCTCAGAAAATAAGATTAAAAGCCGATACGTTTACGAACTAACCGCACAAAATTCCCTACCATACCGCGGCATAATGAAGCATGTGGCGGCCGCAAAATTCGGCAACGCGACAGATTGAAAAATGTCTGGTCCATGACAGCGGCACTAGTATTTCCTATTAAAATATGATTTATTTTTCCCCTGCTGTCGGTTTTTTTTAAATACTCTCCAAGCGCACCGCACATTGAAAATGTTGTTGAAAACGGGGCAAATTCATAGGCTTTTTTTTAAAGCGTGTCTTAAATTAGGAACGGTCGCTCTCTAATACAGAAATATGTAATTTCTTACGGAAAATAACTTGACACGTTTGTACTATAGTTGGGAAGAATATAGGGAATAATGTCAGCCAAACAATTTGTTGGTTTACCTGTAACAATAAGCGAAGTCGTCTCCATGCCACGCTACTCTCCCCGACTGTCTCGCCATTTTGTTCTCTTCTTCAAAATTCGCCAGATCAGGAAATCCGCATTTTCTCTTCAAAACATCACCAAAACGGCACAAATTCTCAGCGACAGCTCCCAAACATTCTGCTGCACACTTTGTAAAAACATTCTACCGACGAAAACTCCAAAAAGTCTCCAAAAATTTGCCCAAAAAATCAGCACAGAATATTCCCGTCGTACGAAAGCGCCATTTTAAAAGGACCATGTGCCAAACTACTTTCTCCACAGGTGTGCAAAACGGTAGCCTCTACCAGGCTTCGGGAGGCAGCTGCATAGAGTAGACATTGGCCAAATAGAGAGATAACATGCCGAGGAAGTTGGTCCGCTTGATACTACAGTCGGGTGCGGCAAAATGTACTACCGGTATCTAGCGGGCCAACTCCCTCTGCATGTTAATTGTTATCTCTATTTGGCCAATTTCTACTCTTTTCAGCCGTCTCCCGAAGCCTGGTAGAGGCTACAAAATGGCCCGGTCTAATTATTGTGAAGCTGGTAATCTAATTATGACGACCAATGACGGCCCGCGTCTCGGCGCTAAGCAAAGTCAGGTTTAAAGTCAGTGAAAGCTTCCCCAGATAAGTCCAGGCACCTTTATACATACGTTTTATATAATAGAATAACATTTCTGACACGCACTGGCATAAAAAGAACCGATTTTCAGGCGCTATGTCTGTCCGTCGAAGCGCCCCCTACATATAACAGTTACATGTACACATCACTTTTTGAGCTTAATCATGTTGGGTAAGGGCATCTGTGCACATCTTCCGTTTTATTATAACAGCCTTGTCCTTTTACTCATTGTCCATCTGGTTATATGGGGTAAGAGACTGTCACAGAAGCTCGGCCGTCACTCAGAAAACAATCACCCCAACATCTGCTTGGAGCCCTTATCTGCAATCTCCAAGCAGATACGAGGATCCGGGATCCAGTCTCCAGCATTATGCGTCTGTTTTTGCGCCTGATATGACTGTTAGCTACAGAACATTAATAACAATACATGTATTTCACTATTTTTAGATAGTGAAATATTGTTAGTAATGTTAAAACATGTTAAAACATGCTTTGAGACCTTATATCCGATTCCCTAGGGCAACTTTGATAGTATGAAGACATTTATGAGTCCTACTTTCCGTTGAGGGATTGAAAACACTTTCTTGAACGATAGACATGCGAGCACAACACTCATTATTTTTTTAATACACTTACCACAGTAAAGTATAAATCCAATAGTCTAAGAGTAAACCCATTGCATCTGCTGCTAATCTTGTTTATGTAACAAAGGTGTGCCAATCTCGTGGAACCCTGACCCCAAATAGAAATCTAACAAAAATGACATGTTTATTGTTCTCTTTCCTACCGCAACCCGCCAATGGAATAGTCCAGACTCATGGAAACCCCCCTTCCCACACACCCCTACATGATATAAAGTTGCGGGTTCACCTGGGGACTTCCTCTTTCCCTGGTGCCAGTCCCGAGGTGAGACCGTTAGTTCTTTCTGTGGCCAAAGACGATAAAATGTTGCCACTGTTACAAGCAATGCCCCTTTCCTTTCAACAAAGATCCGACAATATTGCACTGGTTTGGTAGGGCTGGCCAGATACCTTGATCTGTGTAAGTGTAACAAAAACGTAACACTGCAAATATGGACTGTTAATAAATAATAAGGCCATAACTTACGTTATACCACAACTATAGGTTGCGAAAGAAAAGACACTTTGATGTTGAAATGATAGTTTCTGAGGTGAACAGTTTGAAACAGATTGTTTCTCTACTACCAAACTATGCGTAAGTCGCATACTTGAGCGTTACTTAGTTTACTTATCGCAATCGGCTGTGTTTGAAATGTCCAAAAGAATGACCGTAATAATTCCCCTGACTAGCGCGTGACCATTGTCACGTGGTTATTTTTTTCCAATCAGCGTTGCTTGTTCACGATTAAGAGAACGAAGTCCAACTTTACCGAGGTTGATGACCCACAAGTGACTCCAGTACGTGTACACAAACTGGATTGCATCATGTGCTCAAGGCTGTTACGTTAAAAAGTACAATTTGAATGCTCGAAAAATTCTCTGTCTCTCTGTCTCTCTCTCTGTCTCCCTTCGGTCAAACTTGAGACCAATCGCAATGCTTTCTGATAACCTTAAGTTTGATGCGACTTCAAGGCTTGATTTTAGAGCAAAGCACTCCAGCCACCCCAGTTTTACTTTTTAAAATTTTGACATCATTGTTACATCGCATCAAATATATATGCAGATAAATAGTTCACGATCAAGAAATGGGAAAATCTCGTACGCGTGCTCCATTACACTTATAAACTGGTTTCAATGTGTTGGATCTCCGCAGAACTCGATGGAAGTCGGAGAAAGAGGCACTCTGCGTTATGTCGGTAGAGAAAAGACGCAGAAAGACACGAACAGGTTTGTGTGTTAGTATGGACAAAGTTAGATGAACCGTGTTGGGATGTAGATGTTCTGTGATTATAGTTTTACCTTGTACACGCCGTGCAATATCAGTAATTCATGTCGGGCAATAGCCGCTGACCTATACAGTGCAATAAGCCAAACAACACAAATCGTGCAATATACTCCTTGTAATGCTATTGTTTTATTGAAATAATTACTACAGTAATACAGACGCTTTTTTTTAAAAATAATGTTCAATTGATATATAGTTAATCCCAGATTTTAAACCTCTTGTTACTAAGTTTGGTCAATTTAAATGTCATCTGTGTTTGTCATAGTCGCTGTTATTGTTAATGTTGTCCTGCATGCTCGGTCGTTACTGGCTGGCATGACCTGGAGTTCTTGTTTATTTCTTGTTCATTGAATAAAGAATGATTTACACAGTTTATCAGGAGCATAACTTGAATCTCACTATACTTGTATGGGTTAAAGATGAAGTATCCCGGGATAACTACATAACTGCTATTGCGACTGCTTCCCTACAGTATGTACGACGAACCCCTACAGGAGGGCTGCAGGGCCCTGCAGACAGGAGACCTGGACACGGCAGAACGGAACTTTGCAGCTGCGCTCAAGGCTGTTCATGCGAAAGGTAATTAATATGAAATACAAGATTGTGGGCTTTTGTATCATATATTATGTCTACTAATTTGCAAAGGAGCGCTAGCAATCGAAAAAATAGCTTTACAGGCTAACGAGTTTTTTTTTAGCAATTACTGGATATAGTATGTAACTTGCATAGATCGTTTAAAGGCAAGTGTTCACTGTATATGTCACAAATATACAAACTTCATTTCTGTTAGGTTAGTGTCCTGTGATTAACTTCTGAGCTGGGGACCGGGGGTTAGGCATAAAAAACTGTACAAAGGTTTGGGTTTGTACACCATCCACTTTACTAACGTCCAACTAAAAAACTTTAAGAGGACAAATAACAAACCAGACAACCATCAAGAGGACAAATTACAAACCAGATCACCATCAATTAAATGTCGTTTGATATATAAAAATCTAATACAGGTGAGTGCTGGAAAGAGACAGAGCCCCTTTGCAAGCTAAGCGATGTCTACCTGAAGAGAGGAGAGAAGTCAAAAGACGGAGGTGACTTCACCAAGGCTGCAGCACTCAGTAACGCAGCACTGGTGAGAGCTAAGACAGAAGACAAAGAGGGCATCAAACACACAATCCAGGGAATAACACAATCATTTGTTAGAAACGTCCTGAGTATCGAACAAATGGTACCCCTCGATGACATAGAGAAAAACAAATATATGTTAATGTTATGTCGCAGCTATGTGAAAGAAGAGATCAAAAGAATTGAGCAACTAGTAGATCCCTATAGGCTACATGTAGATGACAACGACCCAAAGATAAGGGAGGTAGAGAAGAAGAGAGTGTACGCAAACAAAGCCCTGTTTGACACTATTGTTCATCAGCGAAGAACATTCATAGCTGGCCTTGTAGATGAGTGTATAAGGGTAATGGGGCCCCCTCCCTGTAAGTACGCTATGATAGGCCTGGGTTCACAAGCCACAGGGTTAGTAACGCCATACTCTGATCTGGAGTTTGCTATATTGATACGGAGGGAAACAGAAAACAGTCTAAAATACTTTTGCAACCTCACACATTACCTCCATCTGAAAGTGATCAATCTAGGGGAAACCATTCTCCCGGCCATGGCGATCAAGTCTCTCAATGACTTCGAGTCAGAAAACAAGCTGGATAACTGGTTCTACGACTCTGTAACGCCACGTGGTTTTTCGTTCGATGGAGCCATGCCACTTGCATGTAAGACCCCACTAGGCAGAGGTAAAACATGTCTCCTTATTCGCACACCAAGTCACATGGCAAAATTTCTCAAGAATGACGTTAAGCTACATCTTAAGAAAGGCTACCACCTAGCGACTGTCTTGGGAAATGTATCATTAATTACTGGAGAACAAGGCTTGGTCGACAAATACACAATTGCATGGAATCGGCACTTGAAGAAAAATGGAAGTAAAATTGCCAGGCTACTAGCAAACACTATGCTGATGGAAAATACAAAGACTTTTGAAATGCAGGATCCGACTGCCCGAATGCTGAATGTAAAGAAAGAAATTTATCGCTTTTCAAGCCTTGCTGTATCTTGTTGGGCTCTGCTCTGTGACATACAGCCGACCACAATCTGGGAGACTATTCAGAAAATGTACAAAAAGGATGCCATTAGTGATACAAACGCACATCACTTAATGGTGCTGGTCAGCATCTCAGCAGAACTAAGGTTGCGAACTTACATGAACAACCGTGGTCAGGTGGAAAACATGTCAGTCTTATCGTCAATGTCAACCAACGATGACATCGAGGAAAAAGCAAAAAGGATTTTTCACTTCTCCAATGTAAAACAGATCATGAGATACTACTATACAGCAACACCTTTGAAGTACTCTGTTCCACAACTTAGCAACCGTCAACCAGTAGAAGAGCCCTCAACTCTATTCGACAACTCTTTCATACTGCAAGCAGATGTATACGAAAGTCTATGCGACTACAACCAATCAAAGGCATGCATTGAACAGGCACTCCATCAAGAACAATCAAAACACAGAACGGTTGAAATCCATCCCGAAATAGCCGGGTTACTTAATAAGTTGGGAAACGCCTTGCAGAACATTGGTGACACAAAAAATGCTGTCAAACACCATAAAAAGTCACTACAAATGTGGCGAAGTATCTATAGTGAGACCACTGCACACCGTGATATAGCTGACTCACTCAACAGCCTGGGTATTGCCTGTAGGGACCTTGGTGATCACAGAAAGGCCGTCAGCTTTCATGAACAGGCACTAAAGATGATGCAGAGTATCTATGGTGAGGGCATCGCACATCCTGACATCACCTCGTCACTTAACAACTTGGGTAACGCCTGGAGTCACCTTGGTGATTACAGAAAGGCCGCCAGCTATCATGAACAGGCGCTAGAGATGTGGCGTAGTATCTATGGTGAGGGCAACGCACATCCTGACATTGCCGGGTCACTTAACAACTTGGGTAACGCCTGGAGGAAACTTGGTGATCACAGAAAGGCCGTCAGCTATCATGAACAGTCATTAGAGATGTGGCGTAGTATCTATGGTGAGGGCAACGCACATCCTGACATCGCCGGGTCACTTAACAACTTGGGTAACGCCTGGTGGGAACTTGGTGATCACAGAAAGGCCGCCAGCTATCATGAACAGGCACTAGAGATGTGGCGGGGTATCTATGGTGAGGGCAACGCACATCCTAACATCGCCAAGTTACTTAACAACTTGGGTGCCGCCTGGAGTGATCGTGGTGATCACAGAAAGGCCGTCAGCTATCATAAACAGGCACTAGAGATGTGGCGGGGTATCTATGGTAAGGGCATCGCACATCCTGACATCGCCATGTCACTTAATAACAACTTGGGTCTGGCCTGGAGTCACCTTGGTGATTACAGAAAGGCCCTCAGCTATTATGAACAGGCGCTAGAGATGAGCCGGAGTGTCTATGGTGAGGGCATCGCACATCCTGACATCGCCATGTCACTTAACAACTTGGGTACCGCCTGGAGTGACCTTGGCGATTACAGAAAGGCCCTCAGCTATCATGAACAGGCGCTAGAGATGTTGCGGAGTATCTATGGTGAGGGCATCACACATCCTCATATCGCCTCGTCACTTAACAGCTTGGGTACCGCCTGGAGTCACCTTGGTGATCACGGAAAGGCCCTCAGCTATCATGAACAGGCACTAGAGATTAGACGTATTATCTATGGTGAGGGCATCGCACATCCTCACATCGCCAAGTCACTCAACAAGTTGGGCTCCGCCTGGGGAAAGTTAGGTTATTACAGAAAGGCCGTCAGCTACTTTGAACAGGCACTAGAGATGAGACGTATTATCTATGGTGAAGGCATCGCACATCTTGACATCGCCTCGTCACTTAACAACTTGGGCTCCTCCTGGGGAGACTCAGGTTATTACAGAAAGGCCGTTAGCTACTTTGAACAGTCACTAGAGATGAGGCAGACTATCTATGGTGAGGGTATCGCACATCCTGACATCATGCAATCACTTCACAATCTGTCTGTTGCCTGGTGGAAGCTTGGTGATCACAGAAAGGCCGCCTCTTATTATGCTCAGTTAACACGTATGAAACAGATGATTGAAGAGACTTGAAGACTGACATTGCCACTCTCCTGAAGTACGTTTTATGTCCCATAAATTGTTCAATAGCTACACAGAAAGCAGTTTAAAACATTTTGCTAAAAATGATCGTGAAGTACATGTATGATGATTTTGTTTGTTTACAAACGGAAACATATGAAGCTATTTTAATGCTGAGCATACTTTTGCTGTCATATTTGGTTTGTATCAAATATTATACGATCCATGATTGCCGTATATATTTTTTAGAACTAACTAACTTTATCTTCAAGCGACTTGTTTAGGTTTGAAACTGACAAACTCAGCAGTCAGGTAAAACCGTATGGAAAGTCATGTAAAATACATAAATTGTATTTACTCTAGTAGTGCAGTCATACAGCATTCTTTGCAAATGTGTCAGAGGTACATGTATAACACCACAAGCAATGGCAGAGATAATAATTACAAATCTTTTATTTGCCATGAAAACCTCTAGCTTTCTGTAAAAACAAGGAAAAACATTCCAGTTTCAACGTATCAAAGAAAATTTTTTTAATGAAACAGTAACTAAAGGGCTCAAAATCTAATGGGCATATGGTCATAAAGTTCAAATGGTCATGACCTGTAAAACATAATGAGCTTGCTAGGTGGCGTTACTGTTATCAGAAGACCAGCTTTGTATGCAAGGATGGTATGTGGTTGAATAGTCACCAATATTCACCATGTAGCAATATCTACCACCTACATAGGAAGTAGTGAAGGTTAGCAATGTTTCAGCCAACTTGTGTCAAATCAAGGAGAAATGTGGAGTTTTTGTATGCTTACTGTATAAGGGACCAAGGAAATGTGAAGACATTTACAGTAGGTACCTTCCAACAATTCCTTACGCAAAATTGTTCCTTCTTTTCCATACGCTTCAATAAAAGTCATTCAGTCTTCCTTACCAATCTCTGGCCATTTGAATACTTTGCTTGCCAACCATCATTTGTATTAGTTATGTCTTTTAAATATGCTTTAAAACAAGTCATATACTTCATGCATTTAATTTTAAGTGCTGTCTTAACTAAGATTTGCATAATATAATATAGTACACAGAAAAGTGCTTTTCGTGAATTACTTTATTTAAAATCTCAATGTTGCATGCAACTCTAGCATCACATATTGTACCTAGCGGATTTATTCAAAACCAATTCCCTAGCTCAAACCAACCTTCCTCAATAAAGGAAATAAACAAGTTGCATGTTTCACGCATCATGATGATGGCATAGAAAAAAATCCATTGCATTTTCACGCACTTTATCTAGTTTTCATGCCATTTCATCTACATGAAATTTGAAGCTGTCACAGAAAAAAGTCTACAGATTCTAACATGTTTTAAAGTCATGCAACAGAAACTGTGTAAAATTGTACCCCAATATTAACCTTCTCCCTGCTGCCTAACCCCATAACACAAGTCTGGCGCCAAACGGCTACCTTAGCAGGCTGAAGGTTAATTTTGCAATGTCATGCAATGTTAAGACCGACATACCAGATGTTTGCAAAGCGAGTAACACATGGAAAACATACAATTAACATGTTCTGTACAGATATTTAGGATTCCAATTTTTACATGGGTACATAAAATGGAGGTAAAACATAATGGGGGAGGGGGGCGTAACACCGACACCAGTTATGAACAAAAACTGATTTTAAACATTCAATACATCATAATTGTTAGTACATAAACTTGAGATACTTGATATGACTTTTTGATAATCAGAGGTACAACATATAAAAGCGGACAATATTTTGACAACATACTATTTATTTTACATCACAAAGACAGGACACAAAAAGGCCACTATCAAATTTTGCACTGCCCAGAACTACACGTACCTATATAAAGACTGATCTGTGAGATTAGATAAATGAATCCCTTGTCTCACAAGATTAAAAACACCACAGATGAAGACCCAATTGGCACAGAGTTAAAAGAAGTTCTGTTTTTTTTCCTTTTCCAAGATTTCATCCAAGAAAGGACAATGTTGAAGTATGCCCTATACCCAACCAGTCACTACCTACATTGTACACTCTTGCATTTTCTAGATTTCAGAAAACCAGACCCTATTTTCTAGAAAAAGTCAGTATGGACACTGACTTGAAGGTACCAAAACCAGATAACAGTAACAGTTGTACCAAATGTAAAGATGGCTGTTATACCTTTGTAAAAACACAAAGATGTCCACTTCTTGACGTTAAGACATACATGGGATAAAGGTGCTTACAGTCATGTACATGTACATGTATATGAGGTGCTTCATTCCTAATCTCATAGCTAACTTACAAATTTGCCATAGCTAATGTCTTTTGCTTTTCATAGCTGCTTCTTAACTAGTGCTACAATTCACGTTACATAATAGTTAGTCTTAACTATGTGTCTCAAATCTTCACTGATTTTCTTAAGATTGTTCCAAGAAAACTTGCTGAATTGTTCTAAAATCTGCTTTTCTTGTACCTTTTTGCCAAGACTTGCATTATCATGATCTGTTCTTTATCTAATCTTCCTAAGTTTTCAAACTGTCTACGTCGATACAGATCACCCCTGTTTCTCAATGAGACATTCCTGTGATGATGTTGTTTTCAACTGCACCAGGACAGGTCCATTGCTAGAAACAGGGGTGGTCGGTAGTGCGAGAGATGAGTTTATGCTTGCATCGTTTGCGTAGGTTTCACACTTTGTTGCGGGACACAAACACAAGCTTTATATCGCTGCTACACCCACACAAGCTAGTCCCCGCCGCGTTCGCCCGTGAAACGGGAACGGTCGCTGTCAGCTGACACCGCTTACTCCTGATCCTCCTCCTCCTCCAAATCCTCTGTTGGAAGGCCCAAGCGACGACGGCGGACTGAAAGTACGAAAAAAAGCGTAAATTCCTGACAGAATAATATATCTGTGTCGTGCCTGTTTTAATTCTACCTTGTGATATTCAATAGATAAAATTTTACAACAATACAGGTCTCAAAAAACAATGCACTTATGTGTAATTTTCTGATATGAACTTTGTAAAATTGTATAGAGATTACACTGTAATTCATTTGGAGGAATAAGTCAGGATTCACATACAAGTTACACATACACAATAACAACAGAAATAATAACACTGATGTCTTACATTGTAGTATAAATGCAGGGTTTTATAGTATCTACAAATGTATATCCATTCATGTACTTTTACAAATGTAGTTAAAGTTAATTCATATCAAAGAGAATGTATTGAAGTTTTCAACTGAGTCTGCCGTTTGGAATGTTGATTATGCACACAAAGGCAAGGTTTTACAAATACAGCTCAGTAGTTTTAAACAATGTAGGGATGTACTGTATGCATGTATATATTATGGTGAAGATTTGACAGTTACCAATTAATAACACATATACATGTAAATGTATGGAGAATTTAACATATATACTAGTAGTAAAGCTGTAGCCTGTTAGGAAAAAGGAACAAAAGTTCAGGTTATTCAGCAAGAGGAATAAAGAAAAAAGAAAGAAAGAAAGAAAGAAAAGCTGCCTGAAAGAGTAGACAACATAAGCGATGGTGATGACAGGAAAGCTAACTTTTTAGACAGACATATTTAATAGTTGTTTGTACACAATCTATTAGTAATTACACAGTCAAACTTACCCACTCTCTATTCTATTACTCTCACTATCAAATCTAGAATGCCACTTAGACAGTCTACCAGGGATCTCTCTAGCTCTAAATTTCTATGTCCATTTTAGTCTGTGGGAGCTTTGGAGACATGAGGTACTGGACATGTATGTATTCAATTCTGCCATGGTTATATTTTGCAGAAGGAGCAAAAATGGGGTTTTTACAAATGATGTTTTGAATTTGCAGTTGAAACAATTCTGTATTCATACCAGGAAGGTATATCTGATGTATTTGTAGTGTCATGAATTTGCTATACAGTGCGAAAACTGCAAAAACTGTAAATACAAAAGTTTCTGTATTTACAGCGATGCAGTTTTGGGTAATTTTGAAAACTGAACCATTTAAAATGTTATCTTAACCTTCAGCCTGACAAAAAAGCCATTTGGCGCAAAATTTGTAATGGTTCTGAGGTTTGGTAACACGGAGAAGGTTAACAGAAGAAGGAGTATTTCAAATATTTTCTTTTTTTTCACAGTTGACAATCAGTTGACAATCTGACAAAAAGTCATTAAACTTTTCTGTCCAGGGGGATAAAACAGTTGTAATTTTAGTACATGTCCACACTACCAAAAATGCTTTTTCTTGTTTTTCCTTGTGCAAAGAAAATTTTTGTCAAGAATATTATTTCCAGAGACAGAAGGGCAAATGCTGGAGTATCCTGCATTCTACCTACAGTCTGTTTCTACAGTTTTATCAGTAGTCTACATTTTGTACTTGAGCTACATGTACAGGTTAGAGAGATGGACTGAGAAAGCCTTCTTGGTGTCCGTCCTTACTGAAGTTTGTTGGAAACGTCTTTGCGACTAATCCAGAAGGCCCACCCGCCGTTGCCGCACTAGAAAGTGATGAAATAACACATACGACAAAGAGATAGGAAAAACAGAAAAAGAGTGAATGACATTTATTTTATGAAGCAAGTATACATGTAGGTAACCCCTTAACTTTTGCCCTCTAAACCTGGAGTGAAAGCTGAATATAGTACAAACAAATGTATGATTCTATAAGATTACTGTTTACACATTTCAGGTAATACAAACATTGCCTGAATGTTTACATTTAAGGCCCCTTTTCCACTGGATAGCGTTGGTTGGGTGACCAAAATTTGATCTGTATGTTTTATGATTTTATTGTTGAATACAATCCAAGACGATGGTAATAATTATGGTTTGATAACAAAATTCACAGAACTTACAAAATATGCACAATAAATGATATTCATTGAACTACTAAATGAGAATTTTGGTAGCTCAACAGTCCCAGCCTCAGTGGAAAGGGGGTTAATGTATAACTATCGACCACCTCCCTCCTGGATAGCTGGCTCTTCTTTCTTCAAAGAAGGATGTTATGAACATGTTACTGGTACAGTCTTAATGTATAGTGAACCAGTGGTTTTACAGAGAACTACAATGTACTTGTATCACCATTCATTTGAAGAATCTTAAGAGCTGATCCTTTAATCAAGAGAAATAAAATTGAAGAAAAACTCCTTTTCACAAGTTTAGGGCTATGATTGGTCCTTGTCATTTTTGTGGATAATCCCACACAGCCCTAACCCCCTCTCCTCTTGCTTTGATACTTACCATATTACAAAAAAAAACGTCCAATACAAACTCAGGATTCTGTCACTTAGTGGAAACCAGTCATCACAGCATCCAACAACACAGTCACAGACAGTTTTCAGTCTGACAAGAATTGGTCCCTTGATACTTTGCACATTTTAATACAGTACAGTAACTGTATACGAATCAATAGGATTAAGATATTTCCAATTCTCATAGCTTAAAGCTGTTGGCCATTATGATTCTCAGAAACCTACCCAGCTGCTAGAAGTGTGCAGTACAGTGTCAGACTGACACCACCTGCATTAGTTAGAAGACTTACCCAGGTCGTTGTTGCGAGTGAGGGAGTGATCGGCGGAGTCTCGCGGCCCCGGGACCTCGAAGCTGTAGCCGAACTTCAGCACCACCCTGTTCTTTCTCAGCATGTCAGCGATCGCCATCTCACACGAGTTTCCCAGAGAGTGCCGCTGAGCAAAATTTGACAAAAATCACTTCAATGTAGTAGTGATATGGAGGTTAGGGTTGCTGACTCTTAATCCAAATGTTCTGGGTTCAAATCCCATTGCACGAGTTTGCAAGAGAGTGCATGCCGCTAAGCAAAATTTGACAAAAGTCACTTTCATGCAGTTGTGACATTGAGGGTTGGGTTGCTGACTCAGAATCCAAAGGTTCTGGGTTCAAATCCCAAGTTTGCACGAGTTTCCAAGAGAGTGCATACCACTGAGCAAAATTTGAAAAAAAATCACTTCAATGTAGTGGTGATATGGAGATTAGGGTTGCTGACTCTTAATCCAAAGGTTCTGGGTTCAAATCCCAAGCTTGCATGAGTTTTAAAGAGAGTGCATGCCGCTAAGCAAAATTTGACAAAAGCCACATTCATGCAGTAGTGACATGGAGGTTTGGGTTGCTCAATCAGAATCCAAAGGTTCTGGGTTCAAATCCCAAGCTTGCATGAGTTTTAAAGAGAGTGCATGCCGCTAAGCAAAATTTGACAAATGTCACTTGCAGTTGTGACGGGGAGGTTAGGGTTGCTGACTCAGAACCCAAAGGTTCTGGGTTCAAATCCAGAGAGTTTCCAAGAGAGTGCATGCCGCTGAGCAAAATTTGACAAAAGCCACTTTGAGTTTCATGCAGTAGTGACATGGAGGTTTGGGTTGCTGACTCAGACCCCAAAGGTTCTGGGTTTAAATCCCAAGCCACATTCAGGTGAATAATGAGTGTGTAGCTTTGATTGTAGGGATATCCTCTTGTATAGGAGGTACCATGTTTGAGGAGAGCCACACCTCAAGCACATTGAGTCCTAATTTTTTCACTACAGTCATAAATTGTACCATAGTTTATCAGAATACAACAATTAAAGTAAACTTATTATGCAAACATTTTCTAATTGTTCGGAGTAGATTATGTAAACAATAGCTACTTGACAATGATTTTGTTTGCTCCTTTTTCAATGATCAAAAGAAATATAATTCAAACAGTACAATCATGTAAGTAATAACTATACATACCTGGTTTGCTATTCTAATTTCTGTCAGAGTTGGGTGGTTCACCACTGCCTCCATAATTAGCTGGAGTGAAAATAAAACATGTATCTTAATACAAATTCAACACAAATTTCCTCATCATCATAGTCTACAACTTTTCAAAACACTGCAATAAAATTCTTATGTTTTAACAGAGCTTTTTTAAGCTTTACATCTGTAAGAGTTACTAAATACTACAACTACATGTATGAAACCTATGCAAAGACTGAAATTTTACTGCCTAAATTACACCAAAAAGAGGAGAAGCTGCTGAGATTTTTACCTTCATTCCGTCGCCAGAGATAAAGTTGGACTCGATGTTGAGTCTCTCAAGAGTGGTGTTCTCCTTCAGTCCGTCTGCTAGAGCCTATAGTACACAACCAAAATGATAAGTACATGTATGAAGTGTAAGAGAAATACATGTAATGACAATGGTTTTTAGTGTGATCCATACTTTGTAAATCCAAAGTGGTTTGCATGCAGGTAAAATTTGTCTAGTTCTGGCAACTTTCAATGTTACCAGCACAGAAAAAAGGATTTCAAGCCTGCCATATAACCTCCATCTGTCTACCAGGTTACATATGTATGTCTGCCAAAAAAAAAACAGTGTCTCTGGGAAATCTCTTATGAAGTATTCAAGTTCAGATGAATAGGATTGTATCATACTAAGGGAGGTTGCATTAGAGATCTTTTCTAAATGAACTGTTTCAAGGTGGCAGAATTAGGGCAGAATGTAAGTCTCAATCAGGCAAAATTATGTTGGTTTGGTAGATGACAGAAATGCAGCAAACTTTTTTTTTTTTTATTCCAACATGTAATCACCAGACATGGTGACGGCACACTCAAGTTTTTCAACTTATATTAATGCCGCCACCAACACAGGGGACAAATACATGACAGGACATTACTCATTTACACCTGAGCTAAGTGAGGAAAGCCGTGTAAAGTGCCTTTCCCAAGGGCACAAGATCGGTGGCATGTCAGGACTCGAATCCGGGACGCTCAGTTCCGAGTCGCGCACTCTGCCGCTACGCCACACGACCCCACCCAGCAAACTTTAAAAAGTACTTTCTGGCACACACTTTTTTCAGACTCAGAGCAATGTTGGGACATTTTTGCGTACTGACCTGAGCGACTTTGTCGTTACTGCGTGTGGACGCCATACTGAGGTACTTCAGGTTGGTGTTGTTGGCCAGGGAGCTGCAGATGTCTCCCAGGGTCGGGATGGCGATGTTCTGTCAACAAACAAACAAACAAACACGTAAGCAATTAAACAAGTGATGGTTTAAAAATACAACAGTTACTCTATTCTAAAGCGATATGTAAGATTTTCATTATTTTAAACATTGTTGTTTGACACATTTTCTTGTGCTATGAGCCTACATGGGTTCATAACGACATTTGGGGAGTAAAAGATCAACGTCGTTGCGCCGTAAAATCATGTTGGGAAACTGCAACAGCCAGGATTCAAACTCCTTACCTCTTGGTCCAGAGGCAGGGTCACTAAGTGTTTTACCTTGATGTTGTTGAGGTTGAGGTCGGTGAGATCCGAGTCATTGTCCTGCAGCTTGGCCAGGCTCTCGTGCGGGTCTGTGGTGTTGGGCGGCTCCGACTGCACCTGGGGGTATGCTGTGCACTTCACAACCGCTAGGGGGCACCGAGGAACATTCAATTAGCAGCTGTTCTTACTGTGTATTACGCAGCAGTATCATCATCATAGTAGCATACAACCAGTAGATGCATTGTCATCAAGAACATCATCTATAGTATAGCTGCAAAATTAGTTTTTTTTTCAATTTGGCAACACTGCTCTATTCCATTATGTACCCTAAACCCACCATTAAAATTAAAAGAACTGTCATTGCAGCCTTCTCCAGAATGTTTTGAACACCTGGATAGCTAAATCATGCATACCTCAAGGATTAACGATGCTGCATTTTTTCAGATCTCTTTAAATCCACTGACTTCTTTACTGTGGAGGCTGAAGGGTACCTGGTGGAATTACAAAAGTATGTGGTTTATACAATGGACTCCAGTACTTACAGCGGAAGCCTTCCTTGTTGGCGATTTCTCCCGAAGCGAGAGAGGCGTAATACTGGTCGTTGGACATCAGCGTGTGCATCCCAAGAATGGCTGCAAGAAACAACACCACAGATTTACATACATGTACATGTACACGTGTCTTCTTACTAAAAAATGCTGGGATGAATGAAGAAAAATCCAACAATGATACAAAAATAAAACAGAACTCAGTAGTGGTTTTGTCAGTAATCTACGTCCTTTTGTTTTCTATTGATTAGAATTCCTTTTTCTGTAATTTTCATTGTCATGACCATCTTCATGTAATTTGTCATGTTTAATTACAATGATGTTCAAGTGCAAATTACAAAGTTACCTCTTACAATAAAGGTAAAATGTCAGACGGCACAATATTTGTGTAGATATTATAACAGAGTAAGAAATGCACAAAAAAAACAACAATATATATTTCAGTGTATTTTTCTTTGAAGGAAAATATAAATTAGAAGTTACTGACCAGCCAAGTCACACAATTCTCCATCCGTTGCTTCCTTCAGTGCCTCCTCCAACTCTGGGTCCAGGATTGGTTCATCTCCCTCGTCCTCATCTTTCACTTCCTTCTTTACATACGCTTTTCCTGAACAAGGACAACAACAAGAAGGAATAAATCCCAGTGTAGTAGCTCCCCCTATACACTGATGAGAGAACTGCATGCCCATCCAACTCTGGGTCCAGGATTGGTTCATCTCCCTCATCCTCATCTTTCACTTCCTTCTTTACATACGCTTTTCCTGAACAAGAACAACTACAAGGGATAAATCCCAGTGTAGTAGCTCCCCCTATGCACTGTTGAGAGAACTGCATGCTCATCCAAATCAGGGTCCAGGATTGGTTCATCTCTTCCTTCCCTGTCTTTTACTTCCTTCTTTACAAACATTTTTCCTGAACAAGGAATAAATCCCAACGTAACAGCTCCCTCTATCCATTATTAAGAGAACTGCACCCTCCACTAACTTTTACTGCCTCCTTTCATTCTTTACAAACATTTTTTCCGGCCAACAAAAATACAGAAGAAATAGCAGCCCCCCTATCTTCTCTGAAGAGGCGGTTCACCCAAAAATCATTGTTGGCAAGGTCTCTTGTACCTTGCAAGACATTTTGTAACATTGTTATCATATCACAATTCCTGTTAACAAAATCTTTAAATTAAAATGTTCAAGAAGAAAGGAATTTTTTATGTGGCCCAAAAGTAAATTGCACTTAGCACATTTCTGCACCATTACTAATCAATTAAACATTCACTCTCCAGTGGTAACGACTTCATTTTCCGGTTGGAAGCACCGGCTTTGCCAGCAAATTTTCCCATTCCAGGCCACGAGTCAATACCCATTAGTACAAATGATGTGAGTGGGATGTGCAGAGATCTAACAACTGAATGCTTAACCTTTGGGAAACTGAGGTCTCAAAACACCAGTACAAAAATCTACTATGCAGCAATAGTAGAAGGATAAGGGTTAAAATGGGTATTGTAGCAACCTAATTTTGTCATTGAGTTTCTAGAATGGAAGAAATGGGTACAATTACGAGTCAAGTGCTACTTTAGCATGCTTCAAAGCTAAATGAATTGAATTTGTGGTAGACCTTACAAAATTACATTGTATAATTTATAAAGCCCCTGTCACATTATAGCCAAATATGGCCTCCCGAACACTGCCCAACTTTCCCAAAATGTGGTTAGGAGTAGGTCCGGTGCAAAGTCGGCTGTGGATGGCAGTCAAATTTGACTCAAATTTAACTCAAATTTGATTCATCTTGTATCGAAAGGTAGGCATAGCCTAGATGTAATCATACTGAACTTAGGACAACCTTAGTCGGCTGGTGTTCGGGGGAAGGTTCTGAATGTGTGACCGGTGCTTCAGGTAGCTACATGTACTAGTACTCACATTCTACTATTTCTAGGCTCTTATTCTATAGCTACACACATGTATGTATTGAGTATTATATTACTAAGGTACCCTTCTTTTCTCCAGTAAATGGAATCAGATCCTCGCGATCCTTGTGCTCGCGTGCCGACTTCTCCAGGTACTTCAGGAGATGCTCGCGGTCAAACCGCCCCGTCGGTGACTTCTTAGTCTGGTCATGTTGTCTCAAGCCAACTGGCAACAAGTCATTCTGGAAAAGTACAGTTTTAGTTAACATCACCCATACAAACAAAAAACATAGAGTAGTTTGAACTTTAATCTGTCGGGTTGATTTAGTTTCACTTCAAATTTCAAAACATGGCTCATATGTACCACTGAAAAAAAAGATTGGACTACTACTACTACTACTACTACTATTACTACTACTACTACTACTACAATGTACAAGTTTTGGGTTACATTAAGGAACTGTAGAGACAGATGTTTGTTCACCCTAGACTTGAAAAGTTTAAGGTGTACCCAATTGGGAAGCATTCGCAAGGAAGATTTGTTCCAGTTTATTTTGTCATTTCTCAAATTTGTTTTGTCTCTTTTCTACATCAGATGAAGACACACACACAGATTTTTAATATTGCGAATGTGCCAATCGCTGCATATTTGCTAGTAAGAACCGTAATATTTCTTTTTAAATGAAGAGTACAGTTCTGTACTTACATCAGGGTCGAGTTCTGCATTCAGTGCCTCCAACTCTTCCTCTGTCATGGAGGACAGGATGGCATCTTCATCGATGTCCCTGTACTTCTCCAGGTCCTCCCCCAACCCAAACTTTATCAGTCCTGCCATGGTTCACTGTGTCTCTATCTGTATGGACATACAAAAGGTAAAACAAAACTTTGTCAGTCCTGCCATGGTTCACTGTGTCTCTATCTGTTTAACATACATTTTGTACATGTACATGAAAGAAAACAGGCCTGATTACTACACATAGTCCCTATCTGTACAACAAAAAATTGGGTACACAGCTCCAAATTTGGGTGCACTAAGATGCACATGTACCTACTTTTAGTAGTATTTCGAGTACCTGTTTATGTGCCTGTGAAATTATTTAGGAACAGGTCTGGTATACAAGATACAGATATCTACATGTGTACAGGTGTCCAGACCTGAACATTCAATGTAGCTATAGTTAACAATTGATAATGTTAAGTTACAAACTAATTTCTGTTGTGTAAAAAATACTGACAATTTGTCAAAAATATCAGTTCACACCAGTTACCAGTAAAGCTCACAGAAGTTACCAACAATGGATCCTATTGGAAATGTCTAGCCTTACTGCACAGCTGGCACCCAGGGTAGTTGTTCAGGAGATTTAACATTGTACATGTATATCATGGGTCTAACATGAGGGAAACCTAACTCTCCATGACTTGGGAGGTGGTGTCTCTTCTCAGAGGCGTCTTTCCTTGCACTAATTAACGTGTTTAAGGTATCTCCTGTGCCATCCGAGATGTGGACAGGGACTAGAGTTGTTTACCGTACATGCTTGGTGGAAGGATAGGAATGTTTGGGAGTGGGGGTTACATGTTAGAGGGGCGCTGATATCAATACATGGTTTATGTATCAATTACAAATTTTCTGCAAGGACATCCAATCTATGTATAATGTATACTATGGCTGGCAGGGCTGGAAATACTTTGACCTGTATACTAGTGCACACACAGATTTACATTAAAATTTTAAAGTACCTCACTGCATCTGCACAACTCAGAATTTAGGAAGAGTATAGATATCATACAAAAAACTGTTCAGAAACCATTGCCATTTCCTTTATACTTCACAGGTTGTAACAGTCAGTGCAGCAAATAACAAGTCACATACACCTACATGTATCTATAAACCCAGTACATGGACAGGTGTACATGTATCTTACTAGGTACATGTAGACATCAGAAACACCTGCACAGCTCCAATTTTACCTGCACTAACCTGAATAAACAGGTGTTACATGACTTGTACAATGCGATTCAGAAAGAAAACAAGACAATTTTTAACTTTTTTTAAACAATTATACATAAATATAGAGTCTCTTGTTTTGAAAACAAAATGTCCAAGTCATTAGTTTTAAATCTTACCTTAAATAAAAGCAGTTGTATGATCTAACAGTGAAAAAAGCTGACACAAACTCGAGCAACAGCAAAAAATGGCTATGTGCAAAACAATTTGACCACTACGTCAATTTGTTTACGTCAAGTGTAACCAACCATGCAAAATGCCTCCGGGATGAAAACCACATAATTACATTGTTAAAGTTCAACCTAACACTGCAGCAGTACCAATTTGTTTCTAGGTGAAAGAACACATTGTCAATATACTTTGACAATACTTAAAATATCTTTTGTGTACACAAATTTTAATATCCAAATAGTACATTTGATGACCAAGACCTGATACTAGACCATACAAGTGATGCTATGGTCCAAATAAGCTGACAAAGACAACTTAATATTTACCTTCGCCAAGAAGGTTATGTTTTCGTAGGCGTGTGTCTGTGTGTGTGTGTGTGTGTGTGTGTGTGTGACCACGATAACTCAAGAAGGCTAAGATGGATTGTTTTGATATTGGTAGGTGGATAGGTCTTCATGAGACGTGGAACTGATTAAATTTTGGGCCCCCTAGCGGCTTGTATTTTATAGATCTAAGTTGAACGTTGAAATATAAACTGCAAATAATTAGACACAAACACACACAAAACAATACACTTCTGTCATGACATGTTTACATAATTACAACAGTTTTAGTAGGGGTATTGGATAAAAATTTTGTTTCAAACTTTGACTTAACGAGGCAAAAGAAATCCAGGGTCGGGTCAATGAATTCATACTACATTTGAGCTTCCAGTCAATTAACTTCTGGCATAAGTAAGCCAAAGCCACAACTCCAAATGAAAACAACAAGGACAAGAAACATACACCCACTGGCGAGAAATGAAAGGATATTGTAATCAATGCGGAATAAAGGAGTCTGTATCTGTATCTGTATAGCCGGTATAACCGCCTTTCGGCGTAACACACCAGCTTCGCAGGCACGCGGCGCGGCGGCAGCTGGCTATATTACACCGATCGACTTGTTACACCTAACCCTTGAACTTCTAGCTCTAGACATTGTTTAAAGCTATCTATTGACAGTGCCCCTACTGTACTTGGTGACAGTGAGTTCCACTCTGCGATAGTTCTAGGAAAGAATGAATTCTTGAACACCTCAATCCTTGGTTGATAACTCTGATACTTGAATGTGTGGCTATTTCTTGTTCTCTTCTGAGCTGGTATTAGGTACTTAGTAGTTGGGACATCCACCAGTTTATTAGTCATTTTGTACATCATGCATAGTCTAGACATCTTTCTTCTGTCTTCAAGTGAGGTCCACTGTAGGTTTCTTTTCATTTCCGTGACACTAGCACCTCTTACATAGTTGTTCATACAGAATCTTGCAGCTTGATTCTGTACCCTTTCCAATTTGTCTTTGTCTTTCTTTGTATATGGATCCCATACTGTCGCAGCGTATTCTAGGTTCGGTCTTACAAGTGACGTGTATGCAAGTGATTTTACTCTCGTTGGTACATGCCCACAGATTACGTTTAATCACTCCCAATGTCTGTTTCGCCTTAGTTGTGATATTATTAACATGTGCACCCCACTTCAGTCCGCTTGTCAGCGTGACGCCCAGATACGGATGGATTTTTGTGGTTGCTAAAGCCTGACCACAAAACTGGTAGCTAGTTGCATGTGGTGTTCGTTTGTTTGTTATGTGCATAATGTAGCATTTTTCGGGATTAAACTGCATGAGCCATTTGCTTTGCCATTCTTCCAGGGTGTTCAGGTCTTTTGGAGAAGTTGTGAGTCGGTCTGTGTAGAAAGCTCTACATACAATAGACAGTCATCGGCAAATAACCTCACATTTGAGTCAAGCTGATCTGGTAGGTCATTTATATACAAGAGAAAGAGCAATGGCCCCAGGACGGTTCCTTGAGGGACCCCAGACGCTACTTTAACTGGAGCCGACGCCTTCCCTTCAACCACTACTGTTTGCTCCCTGTTGGTCAGGAAAGCCTTTAACCAATTCAGCGTAGGGCCTTGGATTCCATAATACTCCAGTTTTGAGATGAGCCTGCCATGGGGGACTTTATCAAAGGCTTTAGTGAAATCAAGTATTGCTAAATCTACCTGCCGTTTACTGTTTAGTGCGCCAGCTATGTCATGGACTGTTAGTATAAGCTGTGTTTCTGTGGATCGTTTGGCTCTGAATCCATGCTGGTAATCCGTTAATATACTGTAACTTTCTAGGTGCTTCATGATTTGGCTATGGATGATATGTTCAAGTAGTTTGCAGGATATGCAGGTCAGTGAAACAGGTCTGTAGTTGCTGGGGACCGCTCTATCTCCTTTTTTAAAGATGGCGCATATATTTGCATCCCTCCAATCTTTAGGGATTTCTGCAGTGTTTAGCGAGTGTTGGAAAATATTGGTTAGAACAGGCGCGATTTCACTAGCTGTCAACTTGAGGAACCACGGTGGTATTTGGTCTGGTCCGGATGCTTTAGAGGGATTGAGACCTTGAAGCATTTTTTCGACACCATCAGTAGAAACTACTATATGTTCCATTGGAGGAGTACAGGGCTGACCTAGAGATGGCATATCTGTGGTGTCTTCCTCTGTGAAAACACTTTTGAACTGTGAACTGAGTACTTCTGCTTTTTCCCGCTGTCACTGATGATGGTATTTCCCACTTTTAGGGGTGCTACCCCGACAAGGTCTTTCCTCAGTCCTTTTATGTACGACCAGAATGTTTTGGGTTTGTCAACTATAGCTTCTCCCAGTATGTCTGCCACGTATTTAGAGTGTGCTTGTCTTATGCTTTTCTGAACTCCCTTCTTAACTCTCTTATATTTGTTCCAGTCTTCCTCTTGGCCTGTTTTCTTAGCCTTGTTATAGAGCCGCTGCTTCTTACGACAGTGCCTCCTTAGGTTTCTGTTGAACCAAGGCAAGTTGTATCTGCTTGATGTTATCTTACTAGGGATGTGCTTATTCATCGTGTCTTTCATTTTGTCTTTGAAGTCTGACCACTTCTGTGTAACTGACATATCCTGAGTTCTTTTGTGAAAGTTAGTTGCATAATCCGTTAGGTCTTTCTTAATGGCTGGTTCGTCGGCTTTTGTGCGGATGTACACTTTTCTCTTAGGTTTCCTGTTTTGTTTCAGTGCCAGGTTAACGTCCACTAGAACCATGTCGTGGTCACTTATCCCCGGGACTACTGTGGTCTTCTCAATTATGTTGGGGTTATTAACTAAGACCAGGTCCAAGAGATTACCATTTCTAGTTGGTTCCTGGACTGTTTGAAATAACCCGTGGTTATCCATTAGGTTTAGTAGTTTCTCTGCTTGGCCTGTGTAGGCCTGACTGTTGTCAGCTACAGTAGTATCCCATTTGATGCCAGGGGTGTTGAAATCGCCAAGAATGATCACATTGTCAGAGTTTATTTTTGCTCCCATTTTACCTATAGACCTGTCAAGTTCATCCAGACTATTTCCCTGGTCTGATGGGGGTCTGTAGTATGTACCTATTATCAGTGGTTTCCTTCCTGCAAGTTGAGTTTGTGTCCACAGAACCTCGCAGTCTGTGTCAAGGTCTGGCCTATGGGTAACAATTAGATCATCTCTGTTGGCCTGAAATACACCACCTCCTTGGCCAGTTTGTCTGTCTTTCCGGTGTGCTATGTAGTTGCTGGGGAATATTTCACTACTTGCTATGTTTTGGTTGAGCCATGACTCTGTACCTGCTACTATATCTGGCTTGTAAGTGTCAACT